TCCTTCCTTCCTTCCTTCCTTCCTTCCTTCCTTCCTTCCTTCCTTCCTTCCTTCTTTCCTTCCATTTTTCTGCTTTCCTTTCCTCCCTCCCTCCTCCCTCCCTCCCTCCTTTCCTCCCTCCTTCCTTCTCTCCCTCCTTTCCCTCCCTCCTTCCTTCCCTCCTTCCTTCTCTCCCTCCTTCCTTCCTCCCTCCTTCCTTCCTTCCTTCCTTCCTTCCTTCCCTCCTTCTTTCTCTCCCTCCTTCCTCCCTTCTCTTCTCCCTCCTTCCTTCTCTCCCTCCTTCCATCCATCCATCCATCCATATTTCCATTTATCTATCTCAGAATCATAGAATCACACAGTTGGAAGGGACCCTTGGAGGTCTTCTACTCCAACCCTCCTGTTCAAGCAGGGGAACCCGTGCCCTTCAGACAAGCGTCCCTCCCAACTCTGTCGATCCCATCTAAAGTCCTCATAAATGCGTCCTCTCTAAAAGAATATCGCTCTTGCGTTATTTGGTTTGGCTGAGTGCCCTTGGAGAAGACGAAAAAGGGGCTTGAGATAACAGCCTTTTAAAACAGCCTCCGGGGGAGATTCATAACAGTAATAATAAAGAGCCAAGCCGTTTTCCCGCTCCCTATAAATAAATGCATTCCCTGATCAGATTATGGGGCTCGTAAGCAACGCTCCAGGAGGAGGAACAAATTCCCCGAGACGGTCTGGCATCTCTGGCGAAAACAGCAGCTGACCAGGACTTTCTCCCCATTGTGAAAGCAGCAACCAGCATGCAAAACAATAACATGGGTCCTCACCCCAACGAAAACAAACAGCCTCCACAATTAAAGTTTGAACCCCGCAAAATAGCCCAGCTTTCTTCCTCTGCGGGCTGCAGCGAAGAGGAGAGAGAGAAATGGAAGAAATTCCAAGTTTTATTCCTAAGGGGACGGATGGCCAACCTCTTGGGCAGGGATGTGTGTTCGTTCTCCTGTAAAAGAAAAACAACAGCTCTTTCATGCGCGCGCAAAACGTAATAATCGAACCGGTAGTAACACCGGTTGAATCCCACCCCTGCCTGCAAGGCCTCCTGCTCCAAGAGGCTGCGCCGGCACGACAAGTCTCACAAAGACTCATTTCTGGCAAGAGTTTGGGGGAGAGAAAGAAAGACTTTTGCAGCTTCTGCTGTTTTCCTTGCATGAAGCCAAAAGTCTCTCCTCTCTCTCTCTCTTCCCTGAGAACGGAACTGGAGACAGTAAAGAACAATCGATCGGTAGGAAAACAGAGTGGGGGATTTTCCTGCAGACTTTGGGGGGATTTCCCCAGGGTCTCTGGTCTGCGGGATTTAAAAATATGAGTTTGGTGGTCCCTGAGGTCCAAAAGCTCCCTCTTCGCATTGGGTAGATCGGGCCCCTTACATTTTCTTGTTGGGTTGAAGAACCGAACCAGACGGTTATAGAGGTGCTGATGACAAGTCTACATCATTCTTGACCATTTTTTTTTTTTACCAAAACTTGCCTCTTAACTCCACGCTTGGCCGTTACTCATGCATTCTGAGAGCAATTTTGGCAGATACAAACCAAACACCTCCCCACTATCTTCCACACATACCCTGCCCCCGGAGTAGAAAGTCAGTCATTGCTTGCCAAAATCTGACCGAGGCTTCGCACCGCACCGTTGGCCACTCCTCCTTCTCCCTCCTCTGCTAATTTTGGGTCCGATCCAAATACTCCCAGGCCTATTGAACCCGGTTCCGGAACATTGGGGAGCGAAACGCAAGAAGGAGATGACTTCACATCGCCTTTCTCTTCTCCCAAGATTTGGTCAGTCGTGACAAGGGTGGGGATCGCGCTCGGCCAATGCACACACGGCTGCACACACCCCCAACCCGGAGAAACCTTCTGGTGCACAGACGTTGCAAAGAAGATACGCCGGTGAACAATTGGTGGCATTCATCCTTCTCTCCCAGGGGCCTCTCTCGGCCCGAAGTGAGATAACTCACCACGGCCAACACACCATGGGAGAACTTGCTGTGGGACCATTTAACAATTCTATGTCATTATTTCAAATAAACAATCCAATATATAAATAATACAGTCCTTGGTTGTATCAACAGAGGCAGGGAATAGTCAAGACCTTGTTGACGATCCAAACTCAGTCAAGGATCTTGGAATACTCATCTCTAATGATCTAAGTGCCAGAGCCCACTGTAACCACATAGCCAAAAAGGCATTAAGAGTTGTCAACCTAATCCTACGTAGCTTTTTCTCAGGTAATATCACACTGCTAACTAGAACATACAAAACATTTGCTAGACCAATACTCGAAAACAGCTAATCAGTCTGGAACCCGCATTACGTATCTGATATTAGCACAGTTGAGAAAGTCCAGAAATATTTCACAAGAAGAGTTCTCCACTCCTCTACTCGTTGTAGAATACCTTATGCCACCAGACTTGAAATTCTAGACCTAGAAAACCTAGAACTACGCCATCTTTGGTCCGATCTAAGTATAGTGTATAAAATTATATATTGCAATGTCCTACCTGTCAATGAATACTTCAGCTTCAACCATAACAACACAAGAGCACACAACAGATACAAACTCAAGATAAACCGCACCAAACTTGATTTCAGGAAATACGACTTCAGCCACAGAGTGGTCAATGTCTGGAATCCTCTACCTGACTCTGTGGTTTCTTCCCCAAACGCCAAAAACCTTTAACCTCAGACTGTCTACTATTGACCTCACTCCTTTCCTAAGAGGTCTGTAAGGGGCGTGCATAAGCGCACTAACGTGCCTACCGTCCCTGTCCTATTGTTTCTTTTATATATATATTTATTTATTTTTCTTATATGTATTCATGTATTCATAACTTTGTTTTTACTTATACCTATTATCTTGTAAGCAATTGACAAATAAAAATAAAATAAAATAAAAAATAAAATAGAATCAAAATCGTTTGGGTCACCCATGTTAGAACAAAAAGAGACTTTTGGGGGGGAAATGTGCAGGGAAGAGCAACTAAGATGACTGAAGACCTGAAACAGCCTGTTGAGAGATCACGGTTCAATGCTTGGGTGGGGGGGTTGGACTAGATGACCCGCAAGGTCCCTTCCAACCCTGTTCTTCTGTCAAGGTTTCTCCTTGGTTTGTGGTTTGTTTGTGGTTTGTTGAGCAAGGCTAGCAAGAAAGAGGGCGGAAGCTGCAAGGAAGCCTCTCGCTGGGAGGGGGCTAGCAAAAGCAAGGGAGATCCGAACCAAGCAAGGCTCTAGTCCTCATGAAGGAAAGCATCTCAAGAGATTTTTTTTTTCTTTTCTTTTTGGTTTTGTTTCTGTTTCTCCCATTTAGGAAAAGGACGAGAGCGGTCAGTCAAAGCAAAGGCCCTCACGTGGGACAAGAGGTAAGGACCAGCGTGCCTCTGTGGTGAACTTGTGTGTGTTGGACAGCACGGCCCTCCGGCCTGAGCGGGGTTGGGGGGTTGGACTAGTTGACCTCCGAGGTCCCTTCCAGCTCTATTCCATTCCTAATTTTCTCTGTTCATCTTTTTTTTTTGCTTTGTGCGTTCAGATGGCGTCCCCGAGGCCCTGCACTGGGAGATGGCCAGACTGGAACTCCAGATCCAGCAGCAGTTTCAAGAAGATGAGGAACTGGCCCGGAAGCTGCAGGAGGAGGAAGAAAGAGAAGAGACGCGCGTTGTGAGTACCCCGACCCAGTGTCAACTCGTCAAACATTCCTACGCCTGTTTTAGTAACTGCCATTTTAAAAAAAGGGGAAGTGGGGAGAAGGAAGGAAATCGGGAAGAGCGGGGCAGCCGTTTGGAAGCGGAAGCACATTCCAACTCTTTATCTTGAAAAGATTATAACTAAACTACCGGAGCTTTTGCCTGCCAATGTGTTTAGTTGGAGAACGTGATTGATGACACCCAGCCTGCGAAGGTGCTCAATTGGAGAATCTGATTTATGACACGCCCAGAGGGGAGTGGGGGAAACAGGGTCACAGGGGGCTGTAAATGACGTAGGCCAGAATTGGCTTCCTACAGGGCAGGGCCAGGATGTCGCCTCTAATGAATCCTTGGAAGTTTTTTTTTTTGAAGTTTGGCTCGAGGATCACGGTTTCATTCGGGCGATGGCTGGAATCCTGACACCCTACTGATCAGGAAGCGAATGCCACTACGGGCAGGGAAATGCCCATCCTGCCGAATTAGAAATCCCCATGGGGATCGTCATCTTAAAACCAGGATCATCTCCTGCTAACATGAGCGGAAAAAGGAAAGAGAGAAAGGGAGAGAGAGAGAAAGGGGCGGCCATGGGCCCCACCTCTATCTTGGGGTGAACCCTGTTTTGCTTCTTGGCAGGCCGCCGTGTTCATTTGCAGAATGGGACAACTCGCCACGGCCAACTCATTGCAGGACAACGCGACAATTTAATTGGAGGATTTGAAATAATTGGAAAACTATTTTTAATTTTTGTCACTCTCCCTTTCATGCTGTCCTGTCTTTGACGTCCTTCCTTGAAAGATTCTATTCTGCCATGGAGAGTTGGCCATGGTTGGCCATGGTTGACCATGGAGAGTTGGCCATGGTTGACCATGGAGAGTTGGCCATGGTTGGCCATGGTTGACCATGGAGAGTTGGCCATGGTTGGCAATAGTTGGCCATAGTTGGCCATGGGACGTTTGCCATGGTTGACCATGGGGAGTTGGCCATGGAGAGTTGGCGATAGTTGGCCATGGTTGACCATGGAGAGTTGGCCATGATTGGCCATAGTTGGCCGTGGCGGGTTGGCCATTGAGAGTTGTCATAGACCCATTCATTTCTCCTGTACCAAGATTAACCTTCTGGGGAGGGGGAAATCTCTCTGGACCCCTGGCTCAACGTTTTCTTCCTTCTGCAGAGAGCCAGGAGGAACCGGGAGCAAGATGACGATTACCGGGCGGCTCAGGTAGCCCAGGATGAGGTGAGTAGCTGGCAAGATGGTTTGAAGCTTCTCTCTGAACTCATCCTGTGACACCTGTCATCACCTTTCATGAATTTCCCCTCTCCGGCAGCTTTTTAAGTTAAGGCTACAGCCAATTGGAAATCCCTTCCTTGTAGCCCAAAACTTACAGGCCATCCTTGACTTACAGCCATCCGTTTAGCAACCTGTTTGAAGTTACGGTGGCGGCGGGGGGAGGTGTGGGGGAAAGAGGAACCAAAGACCAATCATTGGACTTTAAAAAATTTTTTGGCATTTTCCCCGGCCCTATCAAGTCATTGTGAGTGATGTGGTTGCTATATGTGGCTTTCCCAGCCAGCTTTTAACAATGGGAAGAACAAAATAAAGAAATAAGTAACTAAGTAAGTAAGTAAAATGATGATGATAATAAATAAATAATAATAATAATTAATAATAATAATAATTATTATTTTGCCTCCCTAGCCTAGGGCACTTTTTCCAGGGACATATCCGATAAATCCTTTCTCCCTTTGCCCCCCTGCCCCACCAAATTAGGAAATTGCCCGCTACCTACAAGACAAGGAACTCCAGACCCAGTGGGGCTCCCCACGGCAGGAGAGGAAGCAGACCGAGCCCCCCGAGGGACAAAGCCATTGCAACCCAGAGGTAAGAAGCCGCAGCTGTCAGGTTTCCATTTAAAAAGCAAAGAACAAAGTCCCGTCTTTCCAAAACGATTTCTTTTATTTAAGGAAAGCAAACAAACACAAAACAGAGATAAAAGCAAAACCTTTTAAATGCGTCTCTGTGGATTCCGCTCATTCACAGCCAAGCGCTATTAAAAAAACTAATTGTCCCAGATACGAGCGAGTTGTGCAAGGCTGCACAAGTTGTGCAAGGCTGCCAAGAACACAACACTAAATTGTAAGGAAATATTCAAAGGCAAAAGTCTCCGAAAACAAACCAGGATAGACCGAACTTCCACAAGGACTTGAAGTGCAAGAACTTCCTTGCTTCCTGCAAAGAAGGCAACCCCAAAGGCTGGCTTTTATCCCTTAAGGGAGGGAACATTACCTTGCAGCCTTACTTTCCTGAGTCGCCCTTGCTGCTTTGGCTGCTCTTTCCTTCAAGCAGCCCTGCGTGCATGCGCATTGAGCACAGGCTCCTCGGGGTGCTCTTCCTCATTGCTGCCAGCCTCCACCATCTCCAAAGGCAGCACTCCACCCCCTGATGGTCCTGGCCCCATCCCTGCATCCCACGCAGGTCCCTCATCCGAGTCCTCGCCCTCCGAGGCCTCAGCTGTCCGCACCTGCTGCTGGTGAACCCCAACACCTGTCTAGACCTTTCCAAGCCACCTTTGCCTTTCTCTCGCCTTGTTTCCAGAAGGACTCCTGGCCGAGTGGCAGAAGCCCAGCCCTGCTGAGGATCCAGGCCGATCCAGAGGACACCAATGGGACGGCGAAAGGAGCTGCCATCCAGAAGAAGTCAGTGCTGCCTCCCATGTATGGGCTGCCTCAATCCCAGAGTTAGGGAATTAAACGTGGAAGGCCAAAATATGTGGCGGGGCAGGAGTTAAAATGCAGGGTGGCAGGTCGAGTCTGCCCGCTGCCAGCCGTTCGATCCTGACCAGCTCCAGGTTGACTCAGCCTTCCGACCTTCCGAGGTCGGTAAAATGAGGACCCAGATTGTTGAGGGCTGTAAGCTGACTCTGTAAACCGCTTAGAGAGGTCTGTGTAAAGCTCTGTCAAGCAGTATATCTAAATACTATTCTATTCTATTTTCTATTCTGTTTTCTTTTCTGTTTTCTATTCTATTTTCTATTCTATTTTATTCTATTCTCTATTCTATTCTATTTTCTATTCTATTCTATTCTATTCTATTTTCTATTCTATTCTATTCTATTTTCTATTCTATTCTGATTCTAATTCTTATTCTGTTCTATTCTTCTGCTCTACTCTAACTCTATTCTACAGCAACAACTAGGTGATTTTTTAAATGTATCTTATAGTCTTGGTTTTTTTACTTAGGCCACAGTTTTGCCGAAATATCGCTGAAGTTCTGGATCCAACTTTTCAAGCCACTAAAATGGGGATGCCTTCAGATGTGATGGATCTGGGTACAAAAGGTAATCACATAACAATTGTTTTCATATTTATATTGGAGAAAGTCCCATTGAACTTAAGATAGATTCCAGAATACAATAAGCATAGAATTAATAGAATAATAGAATAGAATAGAATATAAAATAGAGAATAGAATAATAGAATAGAATAATAAAATAGAGAATAGAATAAAGAATAGAATAGAATAATAAAATAGAGAATAGAATAGAATAGAATAATAAAATAGAGAATAGAATAATAGAATACAGAATAGAATTGGATAGAATAGGATAAAAAATAGAATAGAATAGATATTGGAATGAAGAATAGAATAGAATATAGAATAGAATAGAATAGAATAGAAAATGAATAGAATAGAATATAGAATAGAACAGGAAATGGAAATGGAATAGCAATTGGAAGGGACCTTGGAGGTCTTCTAGTCCAACCCCCCTGCTCAAGCAGGAGACTATATAACAGAGGAGATTATTCCTAACACTGCACTGGAAAATAACCTTAAGAAAAATAATTATTGAGAGCTGGGGAGACAAGAGAGAGGTGGAAGCAGAGATCCCCGTTCCGTGCTGACATTCTCTTTCCTTTTTTCCTTTTCCTTTTCCTTTCCTTTCCTCTCCTCTCCTCCTAGCCCCCAGCCCAGGACCCCTGGCCCAGACGGACAGCCCCTTCGACTACCCGCCGAGGGTGGCAGCTCCCGTCTTCGTCTCCCCGACCAAACGACAGCCAGACAAGGTGGGCTGCCCGAAATCCAGCAACAAAAAGGAAGGCTGTAGACAGCAGTGAGGTGGGGTGGGCTCCTCCTGCCCACGGTCTTCGGATGCTTTTCCCGTCTCCTCCTTCTCCTTCTTCTTCTTCTTTTCTCTCCCAACTTTTCACTGATGTCTTGGCTGGATTGATATCTCAAACAGGATGTCCGACTTTTAAAGCTCCTTCTTTCCTTCCTTCCTTCCTTCCTCTTATTTCGACCTGAACTCCTCCGTCTTTTAATTCAGCCGTCAATCCCATCAAATGAACACACACACAAAAAGCGTCGGTAAAAAAGCAAAAATAATAATAATTACCCATCACCAAAAACGGAAACGGGCTTTTCAGAGAGGGACGTTAGTCTATCGGTGGCCCAAATATTCCCTTTTTTTTAAAAAAAAATTTTTTTTAAATTGCTTTTACATTTCAAAATATCTCCGCTCCCTGCCCAGGAGGACGCCTTGCGTTATCCAGAAAGACACACACGGTTGTGGCCAGGTTACATGGATCACGCAAATTAAACCAGGTAGTCAGAATTGGAAGAGATCCTGGAAGGGACCTTGGAGGTCGTCTAGTCCAGCCCCCAGCTCGAGCAAAAGATCCTTGATTGACAACAGTTCATTTAGTGACCAAAGTTACAGCACTGGGAGAAAAAAAAAAGGGGGGGGGTTGTTTTTCACAGTTATGATGTTTCTCGCATCTCCCCCATGCTCAGGCGATTAAAATTCTGAGGCTTGGCCAATGACTCGTACTTACGACGGGTGCAGTGTTCCCCCGGGGGTCACATGATTCACCTTTTGCAACCTTCGGAGGAGCAAAGTCCATGGGCAAGCCGGATTCGCTTTAACAGCTGCAAGGATTCACTTAACCACGGTGGCAAGGACAGACGTAAAACCGGGCGAAACTCACTGGACAAATGTTCCGCTTAGCCACAGGAATGTTGGCCTCGATTATGGTCATAAGCCGAGGTCTAACTATATTCTTTTGGCGACTCGGTGCTCCCACAAGTAGCCTTTATCTGGCTTGGGACAGTTGGCAACTTTTCATTTAGGTCCCTCCCTTCTGTCTCCTTCTCCTTCCCTCTCTCTCTCTCTCTCTCTCTCTCTCTCTATCTATCTATCTATCTTTATCTGTCTCTTGTCTCTCTCATCTTTTTATCTCTGTCTCTTTATCCCTTTGTCTCTGCCTCTCTCTTTCTCTCATCTCTTTTTATTTGTCTCTCTGTCTCTCTTTCTCTCTCTCTGTCTCCTTCTCTCTCTCATCTCTTTTTATTTGTCTCTGTCTCTTTACCTGTCTCTGTCTCTCTCTGCCTCTTTCTCTCTTTCTCTTTCTCTTTCTCTCTCTCTTTCTGCCACTCTAGCTCTCTTTATCTCTCTGTCTCTCTGTTTCTGTCTCTCTCTTTCTCTATCTATCTCCTTCTCTCTCTCATCTCTTTTTGTCTCTGTCTCTCTAGCTCTCTCTCTTTCTCTCTATCTCTATCTGTTTCTACCTCTCTAGGTCTCTTTCTATCTCTGTCTGTTTCTCTTTCTCTCTCTTTCTCTTTCTCTTTCTCTCTCCCTCTCTCTCTGTCTCTCTCTCTCTCTCACTCTCTATCTCTCTTTATGTCTCTATCTCTCTGTCTCTCTATCTCTCTCTTTATCTCTCTCTTTTTATCTCTCTCTCTCTCTGCATGTTTTGAATAAAGTCCTTACTAAGGGTGTCAGTTTTGAATGTCAATGCGGACTTTTGTTTCATGTACAGTTTCAGAAAATTACTTTTGCCCGGCATTTCCCAGCGCTGTCGCGCACCCGCCTTCTCAGAACTGGATCTCGCCTTTGCAGCTCGATTCCAAGCAGCCTTTTAAAAATTTCAAGGAAATGTGGATTAACGGAGTTTTGCAAGGGGCAAAACTTCCCAGCAGGCGGAGGAGGAGTTAGGGGGCTCTTGGCACATATTATAAGCAGATCATATATTGACTTTTCGGTTTCTTTTCGAGCGGACTTACTGCCAAAACACCCCTCCCTCTGGCCCTCGCCCCGAATGACTCGAGTCCCGCTGCCTTCAGGTTGTGAGTTGTGGTTTCGTGGCTGTTTTTCTTCACTTCACAATAGGGGATGCACCTGTTCTCTCTCCGTCGCCCAGCAAAACAACCGTCCCGTATTGTTTGGGGATCCCTTTTTAATCTAAATTCTGGGACACAATTCATATACAGCTCGTCCTCGACTTAAAACCACCACTGAGCCCCAAAGTGACATCGCTAAGCGAGACCGTTGTCCAGAGGGTTTCGTCCTGCCCTACGAACTTCCTCGCCTGGCGTGAATTCTTCCAAACGGAGTTGCCTGGTCTTTAAGTGAAGCCGGCTTTGCCCATTGGGGGTGCTCTCATCCAGACGGTCGCCAAAAAAAGTGAGCCGTCATAACTACGAGTCTGTTTTTCCAAGTGTCGGAACTCGGATCCCGTGAGCCATGGGAAGGCCACGACAGACGTTAAGTGTGGAAATACGGCCCTGAGTCGCTTTTATTTTTTCAAACGATGTCGCTCTCGACGGTCGCTAAACGAACCCCGCCTTATTACAATAGTTTGTGGAGTAACTTTAGTAAATAGTAAATAGTGAATTTCGGTTCACGGCACTGTGGGGATGCTACAACGGTCGTAAGGGTGAAAAGCAGCCATAAATAATATTATTATTATTATTATTATTATTATTATTATTATTATTATTATTATTTTATTATTATTATTATTATTATTATTATTATTTATTTATTTATTTATTTTTTTCCAATGACGCTGTCATATCTTTGGACACTAGATGGGCTTTTTGTAAGAGGATAATAGATAACAGATAATCAGAGTTGGAAGGGACCTTGTAGGTCATCTAGTCCAACCCCCTGCCCAAGCAGGAGACCCTACACCATTTCTGACAGAGGGCAGCCCAGCCTCTTCTCGAAAGCCTCCAGGGATGATGAAGCTCCCACAACTTCTGAGGGCAACTTCTGTTCCATGGGTTGATTGTTCTCCCTGTCAGAAAATGTCTCTTTCTTTCCAGGTGGTCTACCTGTATTTGAAGTCCTCTCAAATAAGATGATTTCTCGGGGCAAATCTAGCTGTGGGAAGGTAATTTTCTTTTTAACACCTCTGGAAACCCCCAGAGTTTGACAAGTTCAAAGCGCAGCTGGGGCGTAAATATAGAAATATCCTTCCACAATATAGCCTTGACGTCGTAGCCGCCAGGGCCCCCAAACCCCGGGGGGAGAAGCAAAGCACACTTGGCCAGGGGAGAATCAAGGTTTGGCGGGTGGGGAAGCAGTGGGGAGATGAAAAGGCCACCGAGACCCACCTTGTCGCAGATATATTTCCACTTGGCGTCACACATCAGAAGAGTGTGCGCGTAAAGAAATGGTTGTGTTATGAGTCATGTTTAATCTGAATCAAAAAAAGAGAGAGAGAGAGAGAGAGAGAGAAGTCGTTCGTAGGTGGGAAGTGATGACCAGTGATGATAAGTTGAGATTTGTACCTAGGATGTCTTGAAAGGCCATCGAGAAGAGGCTGGGAGCCAGAAATCACCCCCAACAAAATAGCTTTTAGGAAGTGAAGAAACTTCTGGAGGTTGAAAAAAAACACCAAACCCTTGGAAACAGGGAGATCCTGGCCTCTGGAAGGCCACCAGGTTCTCGAGAACTTCCAACTTCCAACTCTTTGCCATTCAACTTAACACAACACAACTTTTCCCCGCAACACCGTGCTTTTATTTATTTATTTTTTTGCATGGGCTACTTTTCCCATTGCCTTCTGGCCATCCAAACAACGTCCCCCTCCCCAAATCAAAAACCAGTGTGTCCCATTGTGTTGTGTATGGTGTTTTGTTTTGATTTAAAGTTCAAATCGAGGGCCATCAGGCCGATATTCCAGTTCCAGAGACAGAGAAAAGGGGATAATTGAAGGGATTCTTCCATCGCTTCTTCTGAAGATGGCAAGGATTCATTCAAAAGCAGAGTTTCTCAAAATGCTTTGGGGTGGGGGTCTTTTTGTTTGTGTGTGTGTGTGGGGGTTCCTTCGGGTCAAGGAAGCCCTTCTTAGCACTTTGACCCAGAGTTGTTATACATCTTGTGAAGATAATTTTTCCAAAAGGTCCCTTTTGAGACTGGCAGGGGCTTCACAGCTTCCTCCTTCTTCTTCTTCGGGGTATCTGTAGATGCATTCATCGACCTCCTGGGCCAACTGCCCATGGACAGCTGCGGGACAGAAGAAGCGGGAGAACTGAGACACAACACAAAACTCCCTGCGCAGGCATGCCAAGCAATCCAAGACCTCGGAATGGGGCAACTCACCACAGCCACATTAACACGGCCAACTCCCCATGGCTAACTCACTATGGTCAACTCATCATGGTCAACTCCCCATGGTTAACTCATCATGGCCAACTCCCCATGGCCAACTCATTATGGCCAGCTCCTCATGGTCAACTCCCGATGGTCAACTCAACATGGCCAATTCCCCATGGTCAACTCACCATGGTTAATTCATCATGGCCAACTCCCCATGGTTAACTCATCATGGCCAACTCACTATGGTCAACTCATCATGGCCAACTCCCCATGATTAACTCATTATGGCCAACTCTCCATGGTCAACTCATCATGGACAACTCACCATGGACAACTCCCCATAGCCAACTCACTATGGTCAACTCTTCATGGCCAACTCCCCATGGTCAACTCATCAAGGCCAACTCACCACAGTCAACTTGCTGCAGGACAATTCAACAATTCAATTTAATTATTTAAAATGGTTTTAAAATTATTTCAATTCTTGTCACCCGCTTTTCGCGTGGTCCTTCCTTTTGCATCTTTTCTTTCAAGGTTTCCATTCCACCATTTCTCTGATACCTCCGATACTCGTGTAACTTTTCCTGCTGAGCCTTGGCTGCGGTGAATTATCTGGTGGCGAGTTGGCTGTGGTGAGTTGGCGTAGACCCCCTACCTAGGGGGTGTCCTGAGCAGTGGGAGAGGAAGAATTGGTGGAGTACTGCTGGCCAAAAGAAAAACAGGACAATGGCCTTACGTTTCGGGCACTTCTTTCGGATGTAGAATCGGAGGAGGAAGAAGGCCAACACCGGGCACACGACAAACATGATGACGAAAGAAATGAGGAGGATCCGCCAGGTTCCCCCCTCTAAAAGAAAGCAGGGGAGAAAAAAAATAACAATCCTTCAGAAAAATCCCACAAAAAAAGCACAATTAAAATGATCCTGGCTGCACAATGGGCTCGCTTCGCGATCCCTGGCACTAGGGAGGCTGGCACTAGCAACGGTGGGACGGGAGCGGGGAAATTCCCCCTTAATTCCAAGTTGCTTCTCTCCTTGATGAGTTTCCATCCGTTGCTTCTCCTCCTGCCTTCTGGTGTTTTGGAAAATAACTGGAATTCCCCCCCACATCTTCTCTGGGGAGCCCCTGAAATATTGGAAGACTTCTATCATGTCCCTCTTAGTCCTTCTTTCCTCCAGACTAGATACCCGTGTTTCCCTGAAAAATAAGACCCTGTCTTATTATTATTTTTTGCCACCAAAAATGGCACCAGGTCTTATTTTGGGGGGGGGATAACCTCCACTGACTAACCTCACTTCCACGCGTCGCTCTGGACTCCTTTTGGCTGTCCGAGGCCTCCGGGAAGATCTTCTGCGGCCAGTAAGGCTTTCCTGAAGGCCTCTGGAGCCAATAACAGAGCTCTGGATCGATCCAGAGGCTTTTGGGAAAGCCTTGCCGGCGGCAGAAGAAATGGGCCGGCCAGGCAGGTGTCGGGGTGTGCGAGGCACGGCTACACCTGTCCAAAGGTAAGTAGTAGGGCAGCTCTACCCACCCACCATCCCCACCCTAGCTTAAGGGTGTATCCCCCCCCCAAAAAATAAGACCTGGTGCCATTTTTGGTGGCAAAAAATAATAAGACAGGGTCTTATTTTTCAGGGAAACACGGGTATCTAGTCTGGAGGAAAGAAGGACTAAGAGGGACATTTTTACCTGCCCACTCTGGAGTGGGCAGGGGTCTTAATTAGGGCTTATTTTGGGTGGGGGTGGTAGGGCTTATATTGGATGCAGATGTAAAAAAAATCAAGCTAGGGCTTACTTTCAGGGTAGGTTGGGGAAATAGGAGATACCAAATTCCTTCCTATCGTTTAGCCTTCAATCATCCAAGTTGCTCTTTTCTGCGCTTCTTCCGAAATCTCAACCTCTTTTTTTTTTGCAATGAGGTGACCAATACCTCTATCGCTACATACTCAGAGCTTGTGGGTTTCCTCATTTCTAATGTATTTCATGGTGTTGTTTTTTTGTTTTAACTGCAGTTGGAGCCTGACTGAGATCAAAACTTTCACGTTCAGTGGGTGGGGGAGGCTCTTCATCTCTGCAAGAAAACCTAAAACGAACGCTGTGAAATCCTGCCCTTTTCTGGAGACTGACTAAACTATAGCTTAGCTTAAGCAAGCATCTGGCCTCTTTGAACCCTCAGCTGCGGCTAGACTATATAAGCCATGGTTCCAGCTTCGGAGGGAGGTTTGGTTCTTAACATAATGTCATTTTACCAGATGTGGATTTCCAAACAATTGCACCCCGTTTCTTCCAGAGAAAAATCAAATGTCTTTTTTTTTCTTCTCAGTTGTAGAAATTGAGAATTAGATTCTAGATTTCTCCACCCACCCTTAACCACAATCTCAGCAGAGTTATAACCACAGAGTTTAAGGTTATTTTTAAATGATAGCATAGGTTTTTACGGTCCAACCATGTGGGTAAATATACGCTTTGACGTAGAGTCCAGGTATGAAATGGGTACATTTGGTAACAAGATTAAACAAGGTTGTGTGAACGCAGGCATTCTTCGCCTCTTCCAGCTGGAAGCCATGTATGCTGGCAACTTTTTTCACTGGGGAAAAAAAAAATGTTGGTTTGTTTGAATTTAGAATAACAGAGTTGGAAGGGTCCCTGGAGGTCTTCTAGTCCAACCCGCTGCTTCGGCAGGAAACCCTACACCACTTCAGACCAAATGGTTATCCAATCTCTTCTTAAAAACTTGCGAATGCTCCATACTAAATCCTAAAATAATTGGTTTAATATTGGTCAATGCTAAAGTTCAAGGCTGAATACCAAAGTAATTTGTTGAATAATGTTTGACGCTAAATCCTAGAGCAACCTCAATACTCAATCCTAAAAGTACTTGTTTTAATAATACTCAATGCTCAATACGAAAGTAAAATAATACTAAATACTAAAGTAAGGGGTTTAACAATGTTCGATTGTAAATACTAAACTCGATACCAAACATTCATTAGTTTAATGATGCTCAGTACTCAATACTAAACTAAACTCAATCCTAAAGTAATTTCTTTTATAATGGCCACACATTCCAGGACTCCATTCGCAAAACTGCATTCGTAAAACATTTTATACATTGATTTAACTGTTATATATTGAACCAGTTATATATTATAACTTTGGCCAAAGTACATCGGTCAATTAATTTGGGATTCCCCCAATGGATGTTGACCCAGAAACTAAAAAAATATATATAAAGTAGAATAAATAGAATTGAGTCTGAGAAAAACGACGAACCAACTAGCCATGGTTTATAGATCTGATTGCACATATTATGGGAACACAACTGAAAAAAAAAAACCCAGCCAACACTTTTTGGGGTTTCTCTGTCAATATAACAATAAAATGATTCAGCATTCAGAAGAAAGAAGCAACTTCATACAAGAGGCCAACAAGGGCCAGAATGGAAGCAGTGATATTTTTCAGAATTTATGATTATTATTATTTAATTGATATGCCTCTCCTCTCACTTATTCAAAGACACGCTTTGAAGTAATTGGAAGCAAAATCTAATCCAGTTCTTATTCTAAGCTGACTGGGGAATTCTGGGAACGGAAGTCCACATGTCTACAAGCAGCTGAGAAATATTGGATCAAACAGTTAATGGGATAAATAAATGTTCCAAGAAGACCACCTACCTGAAGAAACCTTAGTAGAGAAGACAGACAGGGAAGTGAAAGGCTGGCTGGTGGAGACTTCTGGCTGAGTCCAGCAAACCACATCTTTCTTCTCGGTCCCTGGTTCTTGAATCTTACCACCCGGACACCTGCAGGAATGGGTAGTTAGTCTCGTGTCTTACACCTGAGATTTTAAAATCAATTTATTCCAGAAGAACTTACTTTCTCCATGGTCGGCATTCACCTGTACGCTGATCATTGAAAGTCTTGTCTGGACAGCTTTGACAACCTTGGGAAGCACAGAAGAAAGTTTGATGTCTGAATGAGTTTCTGGCTAACCAAATAAATGGAGGGAGGCCGACTGTCTAACTGCAGCTTGCCTTCAATTCATTTCCCCTGCCTCTTTCTCCCACCTTGGCCTTGGGCTCCATCTCAGTCTGCTTCGGAGGTTTGTCACTCACATAACACACGCACAACAGTGGCTTGTAGCAAGTGAAAATCCCACCGCTGTTGTGACGTTCAAGAGAACTTCTGCCCCGTCGTTAGATAAGTCAAGTTTTCCAGAGATTCAGAGCACTATACTACAGGTAGTTCCCGACTTTATGACTGCAACTGAGCCAATTAAAATTTCTAACAAAACTCCACACTGGCAACAGGAAAGGCACCCAGCCAGTAAACACCCTGCTCCATTCAGTTACCCAGACTCCAAGGAATTCTGGGATCATTAAAAGGAAATGATGATAAATATGAATCGGCGGCCAAGCATCCAAATTTTGGTCATGTGACCACACAATGGTCATACTGTGCTGCTGTGACTTGAAACAAGCTGTTGTAAGTGGAGAACCACCTGTGCAGAGAGTCATCGTAGCTGGGGGCCACCTTACCTGCAATCGTGCGTTGCTGTCCGAGCTCACACTTACACGCCTCACAATTTTTCCCACATGAATAACCCGGAGCACATTCACAAACGGCGTTGGAAGTTGCGGTACATTTCTGCTTGTAGACCAAAGTCCCTTGAGGGTTAAAAACATTAGAGTAGAGAAGTCCATTTTCCCTCTGAGCTGAGCTCAGCTGATTTTGACAGGGTTTTAGCAGCAGGAACCAGGTTTAACTTGCTGGGTTAACCAGGATTGGATAAGATCTAGCCAGCATTTGTGGCTAGCTTTCCATAAACTCCTAAGAATATTTGGTTAAGGGAATAAACTCCCCCTGCCCTCCCAAAAATCCCAATAATCTAAACTTTGCTGCAAAATTCCAGGCCCCTTTTCCACATAAAGCCACCACACTGGAAAAACTACAGGTAGTCCTCGAATTACGACCACCATTTTGGACGTTCAGTGAGGCATTAGTAAAGGGAATTTCACCCTGCTTTTCTTGCCAAAGTTGTTAAGTGAGTCGCAACTTTTTGGAAGCAAAATCCATCTTCCTCCCACTTGGACTTTGCTGGTCGCAAAAGGGGAATCGCACACCTTGGGACACCGCGGCCGTCGTAAATACGAGCCAGTTGCCAAGCGCCCGGATTTTGATCACGCAGTCACGGGGAAGTTGCGACAGTCGTTAAGTGCGAAAAAACGGTCCTAAGTCTCTCTTTTTTTTCCCCCAGTGATGGTAAAACTTTGAACGGACACTAAACGGGCACTTTTGTAAGTGGAGGTCGTAAGGCGAGGAGTAGGGCAAGAAAAGAAAGATAGGAACCTGGTAAGAGGCTCCTGTCCCCAGCCAGGAGTTGAGACTGGAGGCTATATATATATAGAGAGAGAGAGATAGAATATGTGTGTGTGTCTCTCTCTCTCTTTTTGTTTCTTTCTCTCTGTCTCTCTCTCTCTTTCTGTCTGTCTGTCTGTCTCTCTCTGTCTCTCTCTGTCTCTCCCTCTCTCTTTCTGTCTCTCCCTCTGTCTCGCTCTCTCTTTCTCTCTCTCTGTCTGTCTCTATCATTCATCCATCCATCCATCTATCCTTCCTTCCTTCCATGCATCCATCCATCTATCCATCCATCCTTTTATCTGTCTGTCTGTCTATCTATCTATCTATCTATCTATCTATCTATCTATCTATCTATCT